AAAAACAGGGCCTTCCACTGTCGACACACCTTATGCCAATAGTGTGTTTTATGGCTGCACAGCTTCCTCAACGCTCTCAGTGCCAAACAGCTGAAAGAACAGAGCCATAAGGGTCCAAAACAAAGATTTTGCTGCTGCACTGAGTTATGGACAGGTTTTTCCACTGGTCCGACCCAGTGGACGGGCACCACGGGTTGAATGCAGGCTGCCCAGCTCCTCGTGCAACCGGCAGGGCTCAGCTGACCTGCCATGAAGGGGTCTTGAAATGTGAATAAACAAAGTCAGGAGAAGTGCCTGTATTTGGTGAAATTGAACCCCCTTATGGAGAAGAAAATAAGGATCAGGTATGAGTACAAGACATTAATTAGTATCACCATATGATTCTTACTCATTTTGGCTTGAATGGCAGGATCAATTCCCTACCCTTCAGGAACAGCCAAAGCAAAGCTGAAATACATAGAAATAATTTTCCTTTCCTTTTTACCTACACTTTTTTGGTCCTGTTCAGCCCACCCAATTTTCTCAGTTTCAGGTGTGATCTGTTAACAGTCAGTGTCTGCCTGTACTCCAGGCTTCAGCTCAGGAGAAAGCACCTAGCAAACCCAACAGTGTTTTCCCTTCACAGCAAAAGAAAAAAAAGATATTTAAATTTTAGAGTAAACAAAACTGTTCAAATTCAGGTTTGCTCTGAAAACAGATTTTGTACTGTACTTTTTCACTTCTGTACCTAAGTCCTCAGTATTTCTTGCTAACTAGTAATTAGTGAAGCTATTTCAATTCCTGCACTATCTGACTCAAGAATCGTTACTGCCTGCTAAGATCCTCAGCCTTACCTCTTGCAGCTGGAGCAGAGGAAGATGAGGAAGGTGAGGAACAAGAGTGTTGTCATGGCTGCCAAACTTCCCCACAGGATGACGTGGATCTGTCCACTGCCTAAGAAACCACCCTCTGGCCCCATGGTACTAGCAGAAGCTGGCGTCACTTGGGGATGTCGAGGTTATTCTTTGGAGAAGGCTGGCATCTGTGCTGTGTGCACCTTCTGCTTCTGCAGAAAGAAAAACACCATTAGAGGTTAACATAGGTTTTGAAGATAATGAATCTGACAGCTAAAAATCTGTCAGGAGAGATTTTTACACCCAGATCTTGCAAAAAAACCCCAGTTTCAAGTACAAGCCAAGCAGTCAAAGAGATTTTCAGCTACACTTCTGATGGTGACATAGAACAAACCTTGTCAAATATTAATGCAAGCTGTTACCTATCTACAATCTCAACATGAATAAAGGTAGTACCGTATTTCTGTACTTGCATTTTGAGGAAAATTTAGAAATCCACTTTGAGGGACAGAGTAGTCTATTTTGCGGTGATATTTGTTAACTTCGGTGGAAGAGTGAGCTTCAAAAACCAATTACAACTTCTGCAAAGCTAACAAGTGAAAAAGAGAGTTGCAGCAGGCGTTCACCTCCTTCTCTCTCAACATGTCCTGCCTCCACGTCACTCGGTGCTTAAAGTACAGTGACAAACACACTAGGTAAGTCTCTGAAAGGAATACCACAAAAACCTTTCTCACAGCGGATCAGACCTAATCTTATTTCTGTGTGAAATGCTTATTTTCTTAATAGGATGTCTGGAGAGTAATAATACTGAACTTTCTTTTTTGGCTTCTCCCCACCTCAGTCTAAGGAAACGACTAATGAGAAAAATAGACAGAGTGGATTTTAGGAACTTGAATAAACACAGATTTTGCTGCAGCACAGCAGCTCCTGGAGAAACATCCTGGGTAAATGGTACTTCTGATATGTAAGTTCTGGTATACAATATATTCTAAAATTTTATACATATTTTTAATGTAATACATTGTTGACATGGCAAAATTAAAGAGGCATCTTTCATTCTGCACTGCTGAAGATACCAATTTCTCTGTAATTTAGGAACAGGTTATGCAAAGTCTATTTACAGGCTTTCAGCCAGACTTCAAGATTGACAAACACTGAAAGAAAACACAATGGCTACGAAATGAGCAGTTATCTTTTAAGAATGAAAAAGTAGCAGAAACGTAAGACTGAATAATGTCTAAAGCCGCTAAGACTTTCTTCAATTTTATACATATATTTTCATAGATATATTTTTATGTATGAAATATATATGTGCATATGTATTTTTTTCTTTGCAGCAGAAGCACCCTTTGTAATACCAAATTCAATTAGGTACTAATATCCGTATCAAAAAACACCACATCACCATTTTGTTATTAAATTCTTACGAGAAAAATTATTAATTTCCAGAAAAAGGCCAATCATATCAAAGGAAATCTGGTGAGTCAGCAGGAGAAACTTAACAACTAAGCTATGCGACTGGGTAGCTCTTACAGGTAACATTTCTGTTCCTACATAAAATGGGCTCATTGGTTTCTACCATGCAGGATCAGACTTCTGGACACCTTCCAAGAAGAACCAATTCTTACTAATTTATCCATTGTGGATAAAAGTATTTTTTTCTTTTAGATATTAATGGCATTGCAGTAACTTGAAACAGGAAGAAACAAACAGAAGATGAAAAAAGTTGCTGATCTTGGAAAGATAGGCTTCAAAGCGTAGTTAAATATTTCTAGTTTGGCCAAGTTATAAGCAAGCCAGATAATCTGTAACTTTTCCAAACCCATAAATACACAGGATGGGAAGAGTAGGTGTCGCCCACCTTGTCAAGGCAAGGCTCAGATATGTCTTACTGGTAGCCTTGAGCCCAAGGCTACCAGTGACCAAAGAGTCATTGCTCTCTGGGGATGACTACTGCTGAACAATGTGTCTCTGTGGTTATCTTGGTAGAGCCTGAAAAATTAAACATTTAAAAGCAATGACAAACCACTCTAAAAATGATGTATATTGCAGATGTGAATCTGATACAGCCCTGTCTCATTCCTATTTTAAAGCAAAACTCAGGTTATTTCTACACTGAGTCATAGTCACATCACTGACTGTGAAATGGAGAGACCTTAAGAGAAGTTGAATCAGATTTAGTCAGGAGAAAACTTGGTGTAATGCCTGAAAAGACCTCTCTGATGAGGTGCAAGGGCACCGTGCACTGGGATGGATTCCCGTAGAGGTAACGGACTATTCTCATTTAGAAAACACTACAAAGCACGCTGCACTGGCTGCCTTAACTAGCTCCAAACCTTTGTTAAGTGTTTTGAATAGAAACTATTTTTCTTTTCAACGTTCATTTTTTATGAATTTTCAAAGACATTTTCTGCTCTGTTAAAGCTTTTAAAAATTCTTAAAAGATCTTTTGCCTTCTCTTTTCCCATCCTTTTGCCTTTTAAGAAATACTAATTTCCTTCCTTCCTTGGAAAAAAAAGGATGAAATGAAAATGAAATGTGCAAAAAATTAAAACTGAATCAAATCTTTTTTTTCAGCATTTTTGTTGCCTTTTCATCCTTAATTTTCCCAAGAAATGTTTGGTTGTTTTTTTTTGTTTGTTTGTTTGGGGTTTTTTTCAAAATATTGGGCAAAGAAAAACATAAGAAAAAGAATATAGATTTCAAAATATTTTTCTTTTTTCTTAAAACAGAATCACGTGTTTATTTTTTTTAAAGCAGACACAAAGTTGTCTTGAAAGATATAATCTAAATTATGGCTACTTTTAAGTTCACAATTTCATACCTACTCTAAAGAACAATACCACACTCCTCTCAGAAGACTAAGCAATGTACCAAGAGCCAATACAGCAGGAGAAGTTATTCTTTTATTCTATGCATATATTCTTAAGGCTGCTGGCCTTTAAATAAAGATATTTGAGCTAAGGAAAGCTAAGGATGCATGGGGAGCAGCCCCATGGAACAGCTGCATCTTTGAAGACTTCAGTACAGAGTTAGGAAGTGTTGAGATAAGCA